TCCTTTTGTGTGTAAGCTTTGGCCACAAGTCTAGCCTTAAACCTTAAACCCTCTTCTTTGGTAATTCCCTCCTTAATTCTAAACACCCATTTACACCCAATTATTGACTTATCTTTAAGTCTTGGGACTAATTCCCATGTTTGATTTTTATCGAGGGAATTTATCTCTTCTTTCATCGCTTTCACCCAATTCTCAGATTGTTCACTCCTTAAGGCTTCTTCATACGTGTTTGGTTCCCTATCAACTAGTTCTTCATAACTAGCATAAGCAAGCTCAAAATCAGACTCTAATCTTTGAGGTAATCTATGTGTTCTTCTAACTCTGTCTCTATCTAACTGGTAATCAGACAAAGGGTTTTGTTCTCCTTGATATTCCTCTATAACTTCATCTCTCTCAATATTTTCACTCTGATTATCTTCTAGTTCAGGATTTTGATGCTCCACCTCGATTGAGGTAGTGGGGGTTTGAACACTTAAGGACCTTAAATTTACTTGAGATTCATCACTAATGTTATCTTGCTATTTTTCTCTCAAGGTGTCATTTTCTGATTTTAGACATGGCATTTCAGACTCATTAAATGTAACATCACGACTTATGATAATCTTAACTCCATTTTGACTTCTATCCTAAAGCTTATACCCTTTAACTCCTTCAGGATATCCTAAGAAAACACATTTCCTAACTCTAGGTTCTAGTTTTCCCTCATTTTGATGAGAGAAAACATCACAGCCAAAGTTTTTAACATAGTATAGTCAGCACATTTACCATACCATTTTTCATGTGGAGTATCACCATTTAATGCAGTAGAAAGGTGTCAAATTAATCAGATAACATGCAGTGATAACAGCTTCACCCCAAAAAGATTTAGGAATTTCAGAACTCAACATCATACATCTAACTTTGTCAAGTAAAGTACGATTCATACGTTCAACCACCCCTATTTTGTTGAGGTGTATAAGGAACAGTTTTATGTCTAATAATTCCACACTTTTCACACAAATCATCAAAATCATTATTACAGAACTCTAGGCCGTTATCAGTTCTTAGACATTTTATCTTTTTGCCAGTTTGAGTTTCAGCTTGCAATTTCCATATTTTGAAAAATTTAAAGATTTCAGTTTTATCTTTTAACATATACATCCACACCCTACGAGAGTAATCATCAATTATGGACACAAAATATCTATTACCACCCATTGTAGGATTAGTAGCAGGCCCCCATAAATCAGTATGAATATATTCCAAGATTTTAGTAGTTTTATGCATACTAGATGAAAAAGATGACCTATGATGTTTACCAAGTACACAGTGATCACAGAAAGGCATATTAGACATACAGTCTTTTCCAAATACACTTTTATCATTTAGCAGTTTAAGTCCTTTAATACTTATGTGAGCTAATCTATTGTGTGTGTGTCATCAGTGTCGGTCAAATTTATAGAAGAAGTTGAATTTTTAACAATTTCAGCAGTGGTCACATAAATACCGTTTCTTTTAGTACCTTTACATGTGACAAGAGCACCCTTAATCATTTTAAGCATATTGTTTCCAATTTTACAAGTAAAACCATCAGTTTCTAATGTTCCAACTGAAATAAGATTTCTAGCCATTTCAGGAATATATCTAACTCCATGTAATTTAAGCACATAACCAGTGTCAAATTTTAACGTGATATCACCAATGCCAGCAATTTTATATGCATGATTATTGCATAAAATGGCATGACCACTTTGAGATTCTTGCATATTTTCAAACCAGTCTTTATGTGATGAAACATGAAATGATGCACCAGAATCAAGTATCCATTCGTTTAAATATGATTTCACAGTCAAATTTACTTCAGTAGGTTCAGAGTTTAATAGCACATATACTTCACAAAATTCATCAGAGGAAGCAATAACATTTGCCTCATCGTGAACCTTTTCCTTTTGTTTGTTTTTCTCAACATAACAATCTTTAATGAAGTGTCCATTTTTACCGCAACCGTAGCATTTTCTACCTTTAGTTTTATTTCTTGACCTAGATAAACTTCTACTTTTTCTTTTACTACCAGACGCGTATCCACTTTGGTTATCACGAGTTCTTGACTGAGACCTACCTTTCATAATATGAACCTCACTACTTCTTCTCTCGACTCTCTCAGCTCGCATTTCCATTTCTTTACTTCTTAACGAGTCTATGACAATTTCAGGTGTCAAAGTATCTCTTCCATATTTAATAGCATTTTTAACATCTCTATAAGTTTCAGGGATAGCATTTAACAAAATTATTGCTTTATATTCCTCAGATACTTTTTCACCACAGTTAGTGATATTTTGTACGAGTTTATTAAAGATATCCAAATCTTTTGAAGAATCGATTTTGAAGCTAAAAAAGCTTTCAAGTAGAAAAAGTTTGTTTGGAGTTGACTTAGACACATAAAGTTCCTCCAATTTTTTCCAAAGTTCTTGAGCTGATTTTAATTTACCAACTTTTCTTAATACCGCATCAGACAGGTGTAATATTATAGAAGTGTATGCCAATTCATCCATATTCTCTTTTTCTTCATTAGTCAAGTTTGCAGGATAAGAGTCATCAATAGCTTTGGAAACTTTTTGTTGAACAAGAATACCTTTCATTTTTTGTTGCCAAATTGAAAATTCTCATTTACCATTAAAGACACCCAACTCAAAGTGATGTGTGGACATTTTACCAAAAAATGCACAAAACACAAATTCAGATATGTAAAAGTCACATGTCACATATATTACACGGAGTAACAAGATTCCTATGGTTTCACAATAATGCACTATTCTAGAACTCCAGGGTTTTGTGAGAATCGAGTTCTCAGATCAAGGGAAGAACTAGAATAGGAGTCCGGGTACAAGTCTAAAATAATACGAGATAACGCAACAACGTTCAACAAATTAATCTAACGAAAATTAAACAAATAATGGCAAGTAATCCTAGGTTCTATCAACAAGTAATGGTTGCCAAGCAATGACAACCCCCAATCCTAATGATCACACCACATGATGATCTGCTAGTGCGATAATGTAGAGTTTCAGCCAATTTATCAGAGCGGACTTG